AACAGTGTACAGTAGCCTAAAACCATAAATCCTAAGCGCATACCAAAAGAAATAATATCCACTAACCAAACATGTAAAATAAAACAAAAAAATAAAATAATTTAAACAAAGCAAGTCATGTCATGTCTTTCAAAGCATCAAAAAATATGACAGTTCTTTCTGGAAGGTAAAGAAATTAAAGAAGTCTCCAAGAATCTTGATTTGTGAATGAAGACTTTGCCCAGTAATATGATACAATTGAGTAAAAGTTCAAGCTTTTCTTCACTGGATACAACACCAAAGATTATCTCACTACATGTAAATGAATTCAGATCTTGGGAGCTTTGTACATAACCAATCTTGTAAGTCATCCCAGAACATTTTTGAGTATAAGGAGAAGAATACGTGGTATGTTGTTTTGATGTCGTTGTTACAGAAAGTGCAACAATAGTAAAATAAAATTTCATATGAAGCCATTTATTGCAGTGGTAAATGGAATGAAATACTTTGAAGTGTAACTCTTTAACTTCGGGGGAAAGTGAGTAATGCACACACACTACTCAAAAAATTAAAGGAACACCTAAATCACACATCGTATCTTGATGAACGAATTAAGTTGAAAACCTTTATTAATGTACACTGTATAATTTGTTCAGAATAAAATGACATAGCAATGGTCAATGGAAACCAAAATCACCAACCCATGGAAGGCTGTGTTCCAGAACACATAGAAAATCAAACTGAATAATTTAAATCACAGACTCATCCAAGTTGCTTGACTTTCATCACAGCAACTCATAATGTGACTCAGAAGTATGTATGGCCCCCGCATGCCTGTATGCACTCCAATGTCTAGGCATGCTTCTGATGAGTCGGTGGATGGGATCCTGGGGGATCTCCTCCTAGACCTGAATCAGGGCATCAGTGAGCTCCTGGGCAGTTGGTACTTTGTGGTGTCAGATGCACTGAAATAAGACACTTCAGTGCCTTGCAAAAGTATTCATACCCCTTGAACCTTTCCACATTTTGTCACATTACCACCACAAACTTAAATGTATTTTATTGGGATTTTATGTGATAGACCAACACAAAGTATCACATAATTGTGAAGTGGAAGGAAAATGATACATGGTGTTCAAGATTTTTTACAAATAAAAATCTGAAAAGTGTGGCATGCATATGGATTTAGCCCTCTCAGCCCCCGTCCTCTGATATCCCTAAATAAAATTCAGTGCAGCCAACTGCCTTGAGAAGTCACCTAATTAGTAAATAGAGTCCACTTGTGTGTAATTCAATCTCAGTATAAATACAGCTGTTCTGTGAAGGCCTCAGAGGTTTGTTAGAAAACATTAGTGAACAAACAGCATCATGAAGACTAAGGAACACACCAGACAAATCAGGGATGACATTGTGGAGAAGTTTAAAGCAGGGTTAGATTATAAAAACATCCCAAGTTTTGAACATCTCATGAAGCACTGTTCAATCCATCATCCAAAAATGGAAAGCGTATGGCACAACTGCTATTCTACCAAGACATGGCAGTCCACCTAAACTGACAGGCCAGACAAGGAGAGCATTAATCAGAGAGGCAACCAAGAGGCCCATGGTAACTCTGGAGGAGCTGCAGAAATCCACAGCTCAGGTGGAAAAATTTGTCCACAGGACAACTATTAGTCATGTACTCCACAAATCTGGCTTTTATAGAAGAGTGGCAAGAAGAAAGCCATTGTTGAAAGAAAGCAGTAAGAAGTCCCGTTTTCAGTTTGCCACAAGCCACGGGGGACACAGCAAACATGTGGAAGAAGGTGCTCTGGTCTACATGCAAAACACTATGTGTGGTGGAATCCTAACGCTGCACATCAATCTGAACACACCATCCCCCCTGTGAAACATAGTGGTGGCAGCATCATGCTGTGGGAATGCTTTTCTTCAGCAAGGAAGCTAGTCAGTGTGAGATATTAACTGTGTGAGACATTGCAATTTAAGCACCAACACTGTTCACTGTGCACATATAAGAATAAGTATTGTAGCCCTAACACTAGTATCTCATGCGCTTATATGGAATATAACTGTCACTGATTTTGAAGTATGGGCACTGTTTCATATAACTGAACTGAACAAGAATGTAACCTTCAACCATGTTTTAATCAGTTGCAATGTGTGTTCACTCTAAACTGAAATGTACTTTTGGGAGTAGTGCTTAGCACTGCTTCACATGAAGGGAGTCACAGGAGAAAGCAAATGATTGAAAACAGTGGACATAAAGATGTCTGGTTACACTCCACTGTTTATACTTAATGAACTGATAAGGATAAGTTTTAGCTTTCTCAGCATTACTGAGTGTTCATGTAATCATTATGTGTATGTGTGCTTTTGATCACAGGAAAGTACCTTAGTTTTAGGGAGGAAGACTTAAGTGTCATGAGAAAAGCACTGTGTATGGTGGGATAGAACTTTAGTTGAGTATTGATTGATCTCAGCTGCATCCTAAGGAATGTAAGGAGGCGGGAAGAATAGTATATAACACACAGTGTTAGAGATGTAAGATCAGATCATCTTGGCTGCTGCTGCTGTATGATCTCCAGATGCGCATCTGTGAATAAAAGGTAATTAAGTGCACTTTGGTATTTGTGTGACTAAATATTCTTTCCATCATCTGGACCCGATGAGAAGTGGTATACTTCGTCATCAGAGTTGATGGGAAGGTGGATGGAGCTAAAAAAACAGCAATCCTGGAAGAAAACCTGTTAAAGGCTGCCAAAGACTTGGGACTGGGGTGGAGGTTCACCTTCCAGCAGGACAATGACCCTAAACATACAGCTAGAGCTACAATGGAATGGTTTAGATCAAAGCATATTCAGGTGTTAGAAATAGCCCAGTCAAGGTCCAGACCTAAATCCTATTAAGAATCTGTGGCAAGACTTGGAAATTGCTGTTCATAGACGCTCTCCATCCGATCTGACTGATCTGGAACTATTTTGCAAAGAAGAATGGACAAAAATTTCAGTCTCTAGATGTGCAAATCTGGTAGAGACATACCCCAAAAGACTTGCAGCTGTAATTGCAGCAAAAGGTGGTTTGACAAAGTATTGACTCGGGGGGGCTGAATACATATGCATGCCACACTTTTCAGATTTTTATTTGTAAAAAATCTTGAACACCATGTATCATTTTCCTTCCACTTCACAATTATGCGATACTTTGTGTTTGTCTATCACATAAAATTCCAATAAAATACATTTAAGTTTGTGGTGGTAATGTGACAAAATGTGGAAAAGTTCAAGGGGTATGAATACTTTTGATTGGTCTGTATTGTGACTACTCTGCCACCTGGTTGGTGAGCCAAACCGTCTCAAGGGCAGACATGGTGGATATGCGGAGACGGCAAGCTGAGACCCAGACTCCCCTCACTGTGGAGAGGCAGCTGCACCCTTTCACATTTTCTCATTAAGAGAATACAAAGAGCTGGGGGGAAAGCTGTCATCTGCAGCCCACCTACATTACAGAACCACATGAGCGGTCAATCCCTGAGGTTCATTTGACAATAGAGTGTACATACATTGGCGTACCCCGAGTAGTACCTGGCTAGTTTAAAGCTAAAAATCAAGTAGCTACAGGGTTTGACTCTCCTCTTTCCTGGTGGGTCAGAGTAAATAAAAATGTGGATTGGATTAACTACTTGTACTATAACCAACAGCGTTTTGTGAATTACACCAGAGATTCAATTAAAGGTTAAAGGCATAGCAGAACAGCTAGGCCCAACCTCTCCCATGGCATGGCAAAATAGAATGGCCCTGGATATGTTGTTAGCTGAGAGAGGAGGAGTATGTAAAATGTTTGGCACATTTTGTTGTACTTTCATACCTAACAATACCTTCCCAGCTGGCAGCATCACCAAGGCCCTTGAAGGATTGGTAGCCCTATCTGAGGAGCTGGCAGGGAATTCTGGCATTGACAAACCCTTCACCATCTTCCTAGAATCCTGGTTCAGATGATGGAGTGGCCTGATTGCCTCCTTGCTGACCTCTCTGTCCGTGGCTGCAGCCCTGCTGGTTGTATGTGGCTGTTGTTGCATTCCCTGTCTGCGACTGATGCAGAGACTGATAGACACTGCTCTGACTAAGACCATGTACCAACAAGTCCGTGACGAGGACGAAGAAGAAGGAGATCACCATGAACCGGATGATGGGCTTGAAAAGAGACCTTTCTGATTCTGATCTGAGTGAACCATATACAGTATGACTTGTTTTAATGAAAACCTGAAAGGGAGTGTTTAGACAACGACATCCTGGGATGAACAAGATTAAGAATTATGCTGTAAATAATGTGTTTCTAAAAGTTTAAACAGGACGGAAATGTTATTAATCATGATTTATGCTATTTAATATGTTTTAAACTTTCAGAAGAGAGACGTGAGAAACTGACTGTGTAAGCCTGAAGGACATTTCCTATCTTTCATGTGAAACTGTGTGCTGTGATACACTCGACTACAGAATGTTCCAGACAAAGCGAGACACAACCGTCAACTGCACGATAAACATGTTCCAGTATGACTAGCTTCTAGGTTGCGTTATCAGGGTGTGCCTTTTTACTATATATATTATGTTGTGTGAAACTGTCTTACTCAGACAACTCTGTACCATTGTGCTGACTTGTCTCCTTGCTGCAAGAAAGTAAACTGTTCAAAATGATTCCAGTGACTTTGTTGCTTTATTAAGGAAATTCTCATAACAGGAGGATAATGAACGTGATTGTCCAGATATGGTACATTTAGCCAAAATTCAACACGGCGTGATGACAACTTCACATTCTTTATAAGCAGAAGT